TATCTATGTGCAAATTTTTAGAATAATTTTTTATTAAAAAATTGAAATATTGCAAGGGAATCATTTAGGGATAACCTTTCGTTTTTTTGTTTGTTTGTTTGTTTGTTTGTTGTTTGTTTTGTTTTGTTTAATTTTCATGTAATATCTTTCAATAACATCTGCTTTAAAATAAGTGCAGGTAAACGAATATTGGATGGAAAAAGTTAGGTTTTTCTTCTTTTGAAATAGAACATTTTTTATTCTGCATTTAAAGAACCTTATAAAAACCATGTAATTAACTTTCTTAAATATGAAATTTGTAATATTATTCAAACATTATCAAAAAATTATATTAACAGTTAAATCATCTAAACATTTCTTTTACTCGTAAATAGCAACAAAACAATATCTGCAGGAAATGAGTTTTACCTCTACTTCAGAAGTAAAGTCTCTAAACTTGCAGGAATCGAAATTAATAGTTTTTGTATGTCTCTGACAATGGGATGTCTACTGCGGCCGCCTTGGATGGCCTGCAAGCTTGACATTGAGTCTGTATAAATTACTTAATACCTGCCATTGTTAGCAGTAAAGTCCAGAGCTGCCTTTAGGGCTGTAAGTTCTGCTTGAAACACCGAGTTACTGGGATGAAGCTTCTTAGCCCAGGAATGAATTATGTGGTCACCCTCCATTGCACACCAGGCACTGCCAGTCCCGAGTTCTCCTTTGGAGCCATCAGTATATACGGCTAAGGATTGTAATGCACTTGGAGGATTACAGTTTGCTTCTATATCGAAGTCTGCAGGGTGGCAAGGAGAGTGGGCAATGTGATTCTCGTAGTCCGAGGATACATAAGTCTTACTCCAAATAGTAACGTCTTGTTTTAGTCTGATCACTCTCACCACAACACTCTCGCTCTGTACTATCAAGTGCAGGGGCGGAAGCCCAGCCAATACATTTAATGCAGTTGTAGGAGAGGTACGGAATCCTCTGCAGATGCCCAGAAGAAATGACCTTTGCGCGGAGTTCAATGCATGTTGCATGTTAATCGTGACATTGACGCCCCATATGGAAACGCCATTAAGAGCTATGCGCTCAGCGACTGTGACATACCATATTTTGAGCATCTGTGAGGAGACACCCCAGTTAGCAGCAGCTGTTCTCCGCATTGTATTAGACAATTTATGTAGCCTTTCTTTAAGATCTTTGATGTGAGGGAGCCAGCAGAATCTGTCGTCTATAATCACACCCAAGTAGCGGAAATGTCTCACGAATTGTATGTTTCTGCCATGAAGGCTTACGCACGGGTTACGCTCGTGCCTTTTTCCTGGGCTAATTAGCATTCCTTTGGTTTTTGCTCTTGAAATTGTGAGCTTATGTTCACCGACCCAGCGTACTATTTTGTCTAACGCTTTTGGGGAATTTACCTCGTAACTGTTAGCAAGAAGTCGTCAGCATACGCTATTATTTCTGATGTTTCATCATCATCAAACAGGTTGAACGCGGTGTCTGCTACCAGGTTCCACAGAAGTGGACCTAGGCAGGAGCCCTGAGGGCAGCCTTTCGTCACCTTTTGCATGTGGACGCCTCCGTCCGTTGTAGCTTGAATTCTTCGTCTTTCACTCAGGTAGCTGTAGATCAAATCAAATAAAGTTTTGGAACAATTGATATCTTTGAGACATTTCAAAACATCATGCCACCACAACGAATCGAAGGCACCTTGAATGTCTATACTGGTGACAACAGTATGTAGTTTATTCTGCTTGTTTCTAAGTACCGTGTTCCGTAGGTGATTCAGTGCGTGATCCACTGACTTTCCTGCTGTAAAACGATATTGCTTAGTATTTATGAGTTTATTAGTATGAGTGTAAAAATTCAGTCTTTGAAGTATTATTCTTTCGAGGATTTTTCCCATGGCTGGGAGAAGGCAGATAGGCCTATAAGAAGCAGCCTCTTTTGGATCTTTATTTCCCTTTAGGAAGAGGGCAACTTCTGCTATTTTTGTGCCTTCTGGAAAGTGGCGAATTCTCCAGCATGCCTGTAAATAGGAGAAAAGTATTGCCGGATGCGTGTTATGCATAGTTCTGAGAATGCCGTTGTCAAGCCCATCCGGACCTGGAGCTTTACTTGGATTGAGCTTCTTGATTACGTCATTCAGTTCCTTGCTTGTTGGAAGAGGATCAGAATCAGGAATCGACGAAGTATAATAATGTTCAATACTAGTCCAATGTGGCTGTGCATTGTCATCCATAAAAATTAAGTCTTGGCCAATGGCACCTCGGAACAGACGCACATGAAGAAGGAGTACCTCCTCACAATAGCGATCCCCGGTTACAGACCCTCTGTCGAAAACGTGGAGCTCAGTTCGACCGTTCAGCATAATGCATCCCCAGACAGAACTCCAGGACTACCTTTACGGTGTCTTTCCTTGATGTTACTGGAATAAAACCGGATCCCAACCTCTCCAAATCAAAACGCGTTGAGAATCGCTTCTGGTACTGCACTGACTCTCATCCGTAAAGAGGACACGACTCCATTCATCAGTTGTCCAGTTTTTGTGCTCTCTGCACCACTGTAAACGGGGGCGTCGGTGGCCAACTTTCAACGGGAAGCAGAGTTCAGGACAGCGGGCGAATAGGCCCCCTTTGTGAAGGCGTCTGGCCACAGTAAATCGTGACACTTGTCGCCCCGTTGCTGTACAGAGTTGATGAACAATGGCGCTTGCTGACTGCTGTCGGCCTCTTTTCGCCTGCAGGACGATATATCTGTCATCCCCTACAGTTGTCGTCCTCGGGCGGCCACTACCAACCTTTATAACAGCTGTACATGTGGTTTGGAACGCTTTCCAAGCGCGCGAAACGACACTTTTGTTGATTCTGAACTCTGTAGCTACACTGATGACAGTACGCCCCTCCTCCAGCTTTCCGATCATTCTTCCACGTGTGAAGTCGTCCAGGTGATTTCTTCTACACATATTTCACGAACTGACTCACTGGCACTTGCAGCGAATATGTTGAATTGCGTCTCCGTCCTTCCTTTTATTCTACTGTTGAGCTGCGCGCGCCGACATCACGCGTTTTGTGTACGCTCACGTCGCCAGTGACGTTTCATTCCTGATATTTGCATACGCATGATGTTTCTACTGACTTACGTGTTCATTGTACTGATCTCCAGACCTCCTTTTCTGCAATTTCATGGCTATCTGCTAAACTTTTACATTGTTGCTTAAGTTTTGCACACCAGTTTATATCCGCTATCATTTGAACTGAATGGGGTGGAGATGGGTTCGTATAACCGATTTTCACGTAGAAAAATTGTAAGATCTATCTCTACTTTATACACTAACTTAGATCCTACAATGAACCTGGCGAATTCTCGCATAGGCATAAATTAAATACCAGCACAGAAGAAAGATGCAAAATAACCCTTTATTAAATCAAACTAATTTAACGAAAAGCACGGACTTCGTGCGTTACAAAACACCGTTCACTTTCGACTGTAACTAAACGTAGACTGTAATACAAATCAAATCTGAAAAATAAACGAGTGTAAGAACGCACTTCAAAAATTACTCCTAAGAGATGGACTCATAGAAATCTAACCAGCGTGATACTAAACTGATAAGGCCAAGAGGCTTACTAGCGTGACCGCGAAATAACAACGAAATGTGAGCTTGGCTAGCGAAACACGCTCTGAATAAACTAGGATAATCACACATTTAAATAGCATTTCACTTAACTTTAAATTTACATCTTGGCGAGAGAATGTGAGGGGAAGTTGAGAACAGGAAAACTTAAACGAAATTTGTTATTCAAAATAAGGAAAACCCTATAAAATGACTGTCCCAAGCCAAATCATTTATTTAAAAGAAAAATATAATATCTGTATTTTTTGATTTTCTACATTATAATATGCAGAAAGTTGCATTATAAATACAACTAATACACTATATTTTTAACAAACGAAATAATTAAAGAATTTGCCAAAGGTTACTGAACGGATAAAAGAAACAAGTCCGGAATAAGACAGACCAACAAAGGATTCGATAAGAGAATACAAGAATAATGATTACGATAAATATCAGAGACCCAAGACTTTTATACTCAGGTTTTAAAGAAGATGTCAATAAATTCCACTCCACGCCTAAAAATTTATTCCACGCCTAAAAATTTTCTCAGATTTCTCCTGGTATTAAGCTGACACCTCTCTAAACAAGTTTGATGCCAAACCGAGTCTTTACTGTGTCATAAATAAAACTTGCCAAAATTTTAATTAATTTTTCTTGCGAAATGACCTCGACCTCCCATTTAATACGAATTTTCAGTTATCTAAGATATATTCTACATTTCCTTAGGATAATGGGGTTAATGAAATTTATACTCCATTTTCATTATTACTGAACTCTGATTATATTACGGAACTGAAAATACAAGATTTATTGGGTTTAAAATATCTCATTTCAGAACATGTGAACATGCAACAATGAATGATACATGAAGATAAAGATTAAGAATCCGGGATTTTGTTCTTATTATTAAAAGTTTTCATTGTGACTTTCTGTTGCCTCACAACACGCATATATGTGATAATCTAGTTCGCTCTACATGTACGCTATTAAGGGCTGTAAATGCATTAGTAATGCAACTCTTAACCTCGGCTGGCAAGGCATGTAAACAGAGTCTTTAACATACTTCCAAAACAATAAATCACAAATCGTGAGGTGTAGAGATCGCGGAAGTCTCATGTGAACAGCATTTAAATATTCAGCGCAATGCCCATTCCAACTCTTTGAGAGTTTCTATTTAAAGAAGTTAAGCCTTAAAATGTAAATTTGGATATTTAATGTTTATTTTCTTATATCATGTATTATTCCCTGTATAATATTTTATATAGTGTTTTAAAATCTGATGAATCATTTATAAGCATCCTGTATTCGAGAGAAACTGTATCTTTGTTTAAAATGACATATGAGCCTATTGTGCTTAATTATGAACATTTCGGTCTTCTTTTTTATTTAATTCTAGGCGTGTACACATATCAGAGAAGACGTTGAGCTTTTTGAATGGAGAGTTTGAAGTAACGGCTGGGGATGGAATGTCCCGAGAAGAGGCATTACGATCGGCTGGTCTGGAAACTTACTTCATTGTGCGAGTGCTAAAACCGGTAAGCATGCAGTATTACCTTTCTTCTTCTTTACGGGCAAGTAAAAAACCATTATTATAAATATTAATCAAACATACATTTTAACTAATCATTGGGTACGTACTTAGAATAAGGAAGAAGATATATGTGTTAGAAATAAGGTTTCCTATGTATAATTCTTTAAAATCTCTTGAATTTCTGTGAAGATTCGTTGAATATTTTTAATTAAAATCTGTTCTGAAGTTTTCTCAGCAAACCTTTTATCATTTACAAAAGAAGCGTTGAAAGTAATTCAATTAAATTACGAAAACATTGATTAATTTCTTGATATAAACAGCATTTGTGTGCATCATTGCAGTGTTCTTTCCTCGAGATATGTGTTATTTTTCATCTCTAACTATCATATTTGGATTCCTTCTCGTAAATTATAAAAAGTGGTAAGTATGTTAGTGTTTGAACAGATATTAGAAGTATTGTTAATCTGCAACAGAAAAAAAACCTTCTTATGAAATGTTTTCCTGCTGCTGATAATAAACTTAAATGATTTTTAAATAATCTCATAAAATTTATTTAAAAAATCGCTGAGGCTGAAGAACGAACAAATTACCAATTTTATTAAGATTAATTTCATATAATTTATTTGTATTACTTTACAACATTTTTTATATTGTCCAGTAAATTGACTAACCCTTGTAACTGCCCAGTAAACATCATCTGTGAAAAGCTAAAGTGTTTCATGATATCTATTGGTATTACTCTGAAAGATAACGTTGTAATTACCAAGAAAAGTTTCTTTCCTATGCAATTTTGTGTGTAAAATTCATACAAAATATTTTTACGTGTTAAAAATTGTTAAGACTGAATAATAAAATTATTCAAAGCTTTTAAAAATTGTGACTTTTTAATACAAATAGAAGCTTTGCAGTTACAAGATATAGTCGAATAAAGTCGATGAATTTAGTGAAAACTCGTTTAGTCACAAAACATCCAGATTAATATTCTTTACTTAGATTGAGTAATTTCTGGAATGTTCGTATCTAATCAAATAAATGTTAAGTTTCAAATCAGGTGTATACAAATGCACCTTCATAGGCAGAGCACAAACTATTTGTAAGAGTACCTATGCTACAAGATTCTCGGAGATATCCTTTCTGATCCTTTTTACTGTGATTTTACCGATCGCATTTGTTCTCACAGATTTTTTATATGGGCGATAAGATTAATATGTATGGAATTTGGTTGTCAACACAGTTTTAGGACTCCCTGATCTATTACTGAACAATCTAGGTAATGCGGATTGAACATTATCTTGTCGAAATGAAAACTAGTATTCTGTATATGCTAAGATATTTATGTTGACGTTTAATTTAAACATAATCTGAGTATAAAACGTTTTTCTAGTATGACTGAATCCAAAACCTTTCAACAAAATTTTACCTAAAACAACGGCTCAACGGTTTCTTTTTTTTTTAATTTTTGTAGTTTTAGCATTATCGTACACTGTGCTAACTTGCATCTATCATTTAAGTTAAATTATCAGCGAGTGTTACGCAGTGTTTTAAAAACATTGTTTTCCAAATTTGTTGAAGTCGGCTAGCATTCTAATGTGAAAAACGTCACTTATCAGCAGTGGTTATTTATCCGTGCACTTAAAACTTCACAGGCATTGTCCCTTGCCTCGCAACGGAATGGCGAACGGCTAGCTATGGATTTATTTTTGATACGTATGATATGGATATTAAATCATTTAGTATTTGAATAGCATGACTGTATTTCTTTGCGCATTTAATTGAATTTACATTTAAAGTCTTTTTTATTTAGATTCACTGAGAAATTGAGGTGTTGTTTCATGTTCATTCATATTTTTAATTTATATTTCTCAAATATACATAGATTCATAAGTAGAAACGAGATTTTTTTATTATATATATGAACGGTGGCCAACTAAAGAAATCTATGGTCGCTCCAATCTTTGTTGAAGTTCGTTAAATTAAAACGCTTCACTGCCTATTCGAAATAACTAATGAAACAGTTATTTTACAGGCGCTTGATTTCGCTTCACCATATGCTTCGCTCTTTATAATTTTGTATTTTATACCAGCTTGGAGTGCGATATTTTTTATGCAGTTATTTAATATGTTTTATTAAAAGTACGATTTGTGTTCACTATTAAATACATTTTTCTGGTTTGTTTGTATGGAGATTTTTCTTAACGATTTCACAGCGTATGGAAGAAAAATAAGATTGTTACATGAAATTACGGTCTTATCTTTAATTTTAGTATCCAATGGGCACTCTTGACGAGAAAACAGAACAAAATGGAAGAGGAGGAAAAGATGTAAGTATATTTTCCGCTTGAGGAGTTTATTTGGAATTTCTTAATCGTGTTACACATTTATCTAAATTAATTTAAGGTTTTCTTTTTAAATAGAAAATTTCAGATTTTTTTTTTTTAATGTTTACTCTGTATGGTCAACAGACTGTTGTGTACAGAATGTTGTCTTTCGAAAGAATATCTAATGATTTCTTTTTACAAGCCTAACTTTCATTCTGACGTTTAAAAATGAAATACATGAAAAAAATTAAAATGACGTTAGAAATGAAATACTTGAGGCTTGCCTTGTGTAAAGAAATTTGAGCTTTGAGAATGTTTATTATATTTGTATGTCATATTCTGTCAAATAAAGCAATCGATCACTAACACTTCCGTATTAACTTAATTGCTAGTACAAAAGCTAGCTGGGTATGTTTTTTGGAATTGATCTACTGTCAAAATTTTAACATTAATAAACCATATCTTATGTAAACTAACTTTAGTTCTCAATTTACATTTCATCTAGAAAAAATAATTTATTTTTTAGTTTCTAGAAATATTCTTTCTTATTAGCTGTTTTCATCAATAATTTTTATACATAAGAAATTGTGTTATTCAATATCCTTTGACATCTAAAATTGTGTTATATGTTATCCAAAATTAGGAATGTAGATTTAGTAATTTTATTTATCATGTCTCTTCAGAAGCTTATTAATGTGTTCTAACTGTGGAAATAAGATAATATGATTCTGTTGTCAATCGAGAAATTAGTTTTTGTTGGAAAGGTTCCATAGTTATAGCTACTGTTTTGATATTCTTGAAGACACTGAAATAATTTAAGTAGCTTTCTGAGTTTTCTGCATATGTTACTCAAGGCATTTCGACCATTCTATGACGTTATTATTGTTTCATTGTCTTGGATGAAAATAAAAATCCTTAAACAACTATATAGGCAAAGAATATTAAATAATAAAGTTTATTATCTAATAGGTTACATGTAAGGTGAAGCAAAATACTAGGAAAGCGTTTAATGAAAATGTATATGTGCACCAACTGAGCAGAGTGAAATGTTTCCAAGCCAAACTCGAAAGACTAATGAACATTTAGACTTTCAGTTTTTACTTAAAACTACTTGAAACTGCCGTCAGTGATGTAGGATAAATATACTTGCCGAATCATTTCTGGTTTGAACCCATTATTGGTCAAAGCTGGTCCGATAATTCTATTTCTGAATTCGTAGTAACTTTAAGGTTCTACGGATCAACTGTATCAAGGGTTACTGTGAATACACTACTGATGAAAGCAGCATCCAGCGAGCAAACAGCTGTCATAGAATTTAATTATTTGAATATTCCTGCATTCTTCAAGATTTAACCTAGAGAAAAGAACATAATCCGTCAGATGTCAATTCATTGAATAAAGCGATAAGTGCCATTAAATGTTTTTGCAATCAAGAGCTTGACAAAAACAGCATAATGCAAAAAGACAACTGACGTCCGTTACCTGATCGAGCTTTTTCCACTCAAACGAGATCCGTTCTTTCCAAGTTTTTTTCCTTTTTATAGAACATTAAGTCTGTTGTCAAACCTTCAAGCAAATATTTTTTGTGAATGTCATTCTGTTAATCAAATTTTCCATCACGGTCTTGACTCTAATCTTCTCAAAACAATATTCCTCTAGCTGAGATTAATTTTCTATTACCCATTGCTGTCGGTTTATTTTTGCATACTGAATAACGCATACCAACTTTTCTCACTATTAATGATTGTTTAAAACATTTGAGATCACTGCCTGCCATTTCAATCAGATCCTTGCTTCTTTTCGCTATCATCCTTCGGATCCGTAAGTGCTGATATCGGTGGCATAAATTCAAAGAAAAAATTTCATTTAAATTCCATTAAACAATATTGAGAGGCATGTTAGTGTTTAGCTGACGCATTAGAATTGATTGAAAAATTCAGTCTTAAAATTCTGTCGACGCATTATGTATGTATATAAATGTAACTTACAAGTTTAAAATAATATTAACTAAAAAATCAAAACAGCACACCAAAGTGAAATATAAAATTAGCAAAAAACACAACCTTGTATTTGACATCGATTTAGTCAAGAGCTCAATCAACTTCGAGGGCAAACAGGTACAGTTCCTTCTTCATCAGGAACAAAGAAATCTGCAAGACTGGAAAGCATGCTTTGATGCTTTGGTGCGTATTCTGGTTCGCAGCAAGAATTTATCCTGTTCTTATCTGATCACTTAGGGAATCCTACGTGCGGTCTCGCTGTTTCAGGTTCTTTACAACTGAGTCACTATGGAGGTGCGATCAGAAGGTGTAAGAAAGCAAATAATTGAATTGGGAGTTCATATTCTTTGTAAGAAGGTGAGGCGCATTGCCTCTTTTATCCCAAAGGCGAGTGAAAATTTGGAGGAACTCGCATAATTGGCTAAGTGTCCAATCTGGTGCTTTTTTGCAGTCACGTGATTTTAGCAAAACTGCAAATTAGCCGTAAAGATCAAGGGAAAGTTATGTACAATATTAAAAGCAATAGCTGTAAAATATATCAAGATAATTCAGATGGTGTGTACATTTTCATTAAAATAAGAAAAATAGTACAGAATAAACAATGTACGAAAAATAAAAGCATATCTGAATAGAAAAATAGAATATAAAATATAGAAATATCCAATATAGAAACACTGAAATCGATGTATTAATAGTTCATCACTTTGTAGTTCTTAAACCTGACACTGAATTTGGAATGCAGCCTGCTGATTGGCTATCTTTTTATGTGACATTTTGCTACCCAGGAAATTAAATTCAGACTGTTGCATGTACTTAAATTCCCTAGTGGATATATAAATGGCCTATCAGAATGGTAAGGAAAATGAGCCCAATTTAAATATACTGGAAATAAAATATTTTAGGACTTTTCAACACTCAATAATGTTCATAAATCAGACACTGGAAATCAACGTTTGCAACATCATATTTATACCCTACAGCAGTAAAACAAACGAAAAGGTAGCGCCATCTGCTGTCGAAATCGATTGAGTTCTTGATTAAATCAACGCCAAATGCTTTCCCGAACTTTTCGAATTGATCAAAAACAATCATTGTGTTATCAATTAGGAATGCTAAAAATAATCAACTACGTTGCGACCTAGCTTTATAACAACCCTAAAATAAATTGAAAGCCCACATGACAGCTCATGTTTATTTAATCTAATTTAAAGAAATATTTATTGCCTACTTTCCTTTGTATATTAATACAATGATATGATATGACATGTTTTTCTGAGACTTCGTATTACGTGACTAACATTAAATTGGATTCCTCTTAGCTAATAATGTCAATGTATGTTTTATAGATTGCCAAATGTTTGTAACTGCTGAGGATATATGGTCGTTCAAAACAATAATTCAAAAAGCTATTACACGTCCTTATGTGATATCTCTACATAAGTTCGTAAAATGTTCAGAACTTATGTTTTGAAGCTAGAATTTTATTACACAAATAACTTCGATTTGAGCAATAAAACTTATGTGGTGTTGAGTACGTGGCACGTTAAACACTTTTTCTTTGTTGTGGTGGAAATAATATTTTACAACCATGCTATAAAAATTGTACGTGACATGTTGATAAGAAATTTATTTAATTTTAGGTCTCAGTCCGTAAGAAGATCGATGGAAAATATGTATTGTGATATTTTAAATGGATTAAATAACATTTTAACAGATATTCAAATGATTTTTTCCTCAGCAGACAAACTGATCTCGTGTTGAGATACTTTTAGGAAACTTTTTCATGCATCAAGAAAGTGAATATTTTAATGTATAGAATCTGACGTGTTAATGTTGTCATATTTTTCCATATAAAATTGTTAATTTTATAGCATTACTCCTATTTAATTTAGTTTTAGCTGATACTTCACTTTAGGCATTTCAGGAGTTATTTAAAGTAAGCAAAGCACATGGAAGTGAATTAACTTAAAAACGGTCGTTTTTCAGTTGGCAATTACTAGTCTCGTGTTATTATTTTTTGAATTCAGAAAGTTTAGTTAATAATGCTTTGTTATTGCCCATTAATTAAACCCTGGAACAAGAACAAAATATAAAAATTTAGCATTGTTAGTGAAATAAACATTTTTTAGGATATTAATATTTGCTTTTATATAATAAGTACTTTATTTTATAAATACATCATCATCTTTGCCATAAAAAACTATTTTTGTGCTAAAACTAAATTTTTATATATAACTTTAGAATCGATTTGCATTTTACTAGAATACAAGTCATGCAGGCAGTTTAATTGGTAAATGTATTATAACACTTGAAATTAATTTACTTTATTTCAGTAATTTCATTTCTTTCATTACGTAAATATTTTCTACAATTATTGTTTTTATTAAAAATTAAATTATTTTTATTTTTATCGATAAATGGTTCAAAAGAACTAATTAAACATCTGTACCAGATTACTTGAATGTATAAAACGCTGAGAATTACTTTTATAATGTACATTTTGTTTTTGTCTTTTTTCCTTCTAAACTAATATCATATTCTTTGTAATTATAATTTCTTATTCATGAGCATTTCTTGAAAGGCGCAGTAACTTGTTATCATGGGAGCATTCCAATATCTTTGATATCATTTTTGTACTTTTTTAATGTCATTACAATGGAATTTTTGCCCTTATTCATCATGAGAATCGCAAACAGTTTCAGAAAAGGTTTTAAATGAGATTTCTAAATATAACTTTCAGTATTTTTTCTGCAGAATTTATCGTTTTATCTTCCCGTTTGCTTTTCTAATTAGGATCTTTATAATCTTCTGGAACATTCTATCAAAGAATATTCCTCTAAATTACGGTGATGAATGCGATGTATGTCATTAATTTTTTAATATAATTAGATTAATAATTTCAACTTCAGAATGTGTTTCCGTGCTGAGGTGGCGTTTTCTTTTTTAGTATCTTCCCTTTTGCATTCTTTGTTACGAGCTGTGCTGTTTCAATAGAAAGATTTA